GCGTACAGCTACCCCACCTTCAACGCCGGCCCCAGGGCCTGCCTGGGGCAGCGCCTGGCTGAGCTGGAGGGGGTCTGCGCCCTGGTGGGGGGGGGGGGAGAGGGGAGGGGCGGTCTTAATGGACCCATCCCAGCTACTGTAGTCCAGAGTGGTGGGATCACGGCCAGCCCGCAAAATAGTGTCAGGGCGGCTGCTGAGACGCGCATGCGGCGGCTGTCTGGGATTGGCGGCGGGCGCCGACTTGTTGGAGGCAGGTGGTGGCCGCAGCTGTGCAGCACCCCCCCAGAATGCAAGTCAGTACAGGGCGCCTTCCTGCACCCTCACAATGGGGCACACCTCCCACGAACCATGCACGCCCGTAAACTTGGCAAGCCCCCAATGTGACTGACCTTTGACTTTTCACATCCTGCAATGCGCGCTGAATTCCGCCCCGCTGGCAGGTCCTGCTGCTGCGGCGCTTCCGGCTGCGGCCCGCCGCAGGCTGTGCCGTGCACTATGACTCGAGCGTGAGCCTCCCGATCAAAGGCGGCCTCTGGGTGCACGTCGAAGAGAGGGGGGCTGTGCCACGGCAGTCAGTTTGAACCTGTCAGTCCAGCCGATGCGTTGACAGTGTTTGAAGCGCAATTGGGGTTCAGAGTGGGCGCAGTGTAGGGTGGAGGCCGAAACACTCTGACAAGGCATCAAGGCTCAGTAGCTGTTGGCTTTGTTGGACTTCACAACAAAGTCCCTGTCACGACTGCTGCTTGTATAAATAGACAAACGAACACACGCAAGGCCTTCATATGCCTTGACAAAAAGAAGCCTCAATAGCAGGTAATCTAACCGTAATTTGCCACGAGATCCTTTGACCGCGCTCGTGGGTCTTGGGATGGCCGAACATGATGGCAGTGCGATTACATCGAAATCGACATACTAACGCACGTGTTCAGCCCTGCTGCGGCCGGTGTCCTCAGCTTCCCCTCAGCTGCTGGTGGCTCATGATGTCACTGCCAGCTACCTGGGGGCCTTGCAACGCCTTTGATGAGCATCGGTGAGCCCTGCATCGATCAATAAGATACGTGAGCTCCTTTTAAGCCTGATTTTCAGAGCTGCGTTCAACCTGTTGAAGCCAATCTATCCCGACGGGCATCCTAGTCAGCACTGTTTTCAGGGTCACCCGGGTGACGCAGTCTGCTCCGCAGCACTAGGAGAGACAGGCACTCGAGCTTCACCAGCCGCGCTAATATGGAGCTCTTAAAAAACCTGGTGTCGCTTCTCGGCCTGGGCGCCGCGGCCATGGGCACGGCGACGCTGCGAGGTGCGGGGTGACAGGGGCAAGAGGCGCCCGCGGTGGGGCGGTAGCGACCAGGGCGCTGAATTGGATGGCTGGCTGGCGAGAAAATTGGATGGCGCACGGGCCTTGACATGCACATTACACAGCACAGTATCACAAGCAAAGCTATGCCCACAAGTCTTTTGCGCCCGGGCCGGCGCGCGGGTGCCCATACACAGCGCGCATTGAAGCGGTTGACAACCGCAAGCTGACACACCAACCACCCAGCAGGCGAGACGCCTCCGGCAGCCGCCCTCGCCGCCGCCCTCACCGCCGCCGCCCTGGCCGCCGCCGCCCTGGCCGCCGCCGTCGCCTACCACTGGCGCCACGCGGTCGGCTCCCAGCGCCCGCGCGCGGGACGCTCATCGTGCCGGGCGCTTTGCCACTCATCGGCAACGCCTTGCAGGTTGGACCCGCCCTCCAGATTCGCTGCTCTTTGTCATATTATTGTACCGCCGTCCAACAGCCCCGCCCCGCACAGCGCGCATCCCTGCCGGCGGCAGCTTTCCCTCTGAACCCCTTGGCTCCTGCGGCCACATCGTCAGGTTTCTTGGACTCGCCCCAGACGCCGCATCTAATCACACGTTGCGAGCTGCGGGACGCCACCCACACACATGGCGCCCTCGGCCGTTTATACTACTCGCTGCCTTGGTGCAAGTCCGCAACATCCAAGGCATCACCCGCTCTGCCGGAGCCTTCCCCCATGGCCACCGGCTTGCGCCAAACACGCCCACACTAAGCACGTTCGAACCGTCACCACCAGGAAACGAATCGCACCATCCGGCCCGTCAACCGGTTGCCCCCACAGGTCTTCCCAAACATCCACCGCATTCACGACTGGCTCGCCGACCAGTCCCGCAGCACGGGGCTCCGCGGCGCGATGCTCGCGTTCACGCTGCCGTTCCTGCGCACCTTCTACTGCGTCACCGACCCGGCGGTGCTTGAGTGGGTGCTCAAGACGCGGATGACTACGTAATTACGTGAAGGGCGAGGTGGTCAGGTGGGGGGCGGGCCGTGCACGCACGCGCTTGGGCGGCGCGCGTGCCAGAGGACGTCGCGTGGCCGTTGATTGCAGTGCGTTTGCCGCTGCGTTCGCGCCGGGTCCTGAGGTGGCTTGAAAGCTGGAGCGCCTCGCTGTCAAATGACGCCCTAGCGGCGCCGCCAGCAACTCGCTCCTTGTGAGCTCCTCAACCACGTACACGCGCTGAGACTGCTTTGCTGGCGGAAACAGCACTGATAGATAGATTCGTTACTCATGCCATAGCAACACTGCTGACGATGAATGAGTCGCGTCGGCCCCACTGGCAAACGCAGGACCAACTTGGGGCCTGTGTTGGGAAGGTGAGCGGGCGAGGCTCTTCACCAGGTGCAAAAGGCGAGGGGCTGTCGCGAGCAAACTCCATCAGAGCTTTTGGCAAGGCTCTCAGAGCGCGTCTCGTGACCAGGGTGCGTCATGCTTTGTTTTGAATTCACGCCCCTGTCCGAGTCCCTGAAGATTTGCTTGCAATCCCGCCTGCCCGTCTTCCGCTGCCAGCGGCATCTTTTCTGTTGACGGGGAGGAGTGGCGCTGGCAGCGCAAGCTGGCGGCAAGGATATTCTCCATCAGCAGGTTTCCGCTTGGAGGCATGAGGCCGGACAAGATCAGGTTACATGAGGTGCGATTCGACATAATCTCCCGCAGCAGCTGCCCATCCGCGTGGACAACTCTGCCCCTGGGAGCGGCAGCTGGGCGTGGCGGCACGTGCCTTGGCTCTTGGAAAGTCGTGGGTGCTGCGTGCCCAATCCTGCACCTTGCAACGACAGCGGCAGCTCCCAAGGGTCGCAAGCAATTCAGGGTATGCTGTTACCCTGGATGTAATTGATGTACGACCCGTCACCCCCACCCCCCAAAAAAACTCCCCCCCAAAACCCCCAGCTTTAAGCAGTACGTGTCAGAGGTCTTCAGCGCCAAGGCTGACCTGCTGCTGGCCCGCCTGGCGGCCGCATGCCCCCCGGGCCCCACTGCGACGGCCGCCGCCGATTGCGCGCCCAGCAACGCGTCAGTGCCTTCTGCTGTTCGGGCGGGGTCGGCTGCTGGGCCCGAGGTGGGGGCTGTTTGCGGCGGCGCCGCCGCCGCTGCAGCATTGGGGGTTGTGCCTGGTGAGGCGATCGACATCCAGGACGTGTTCTACCGCTTCACACTGGACGCCTTCTGCCACATCGGTGCGTTTGCCGCTGCGGCCACGTCTGGGGCTCGCGACGTGGCGCCAATGCAGCTGCTGGGGTTTGGCAGCGCCCTGAAAGGGGAGTGAACTTCCTGAGGGGTCCAGCCCCACTTTGTGTCAGTTTGCACGCCTAAATAGAGCGGCATGATTTTGTGGCGCGATTTTTCCGGCTGCCCAGCTTCCCACTCACCACAAGACCCACGCGTGTCGCCTCGCCACGCCGCAGGCTTTGGCACTGACCCCGGCTGCCTGAGCGCCGCGGGCCGCCTGCCCTTCGCGGCCGCGTTTGACCGGGCGCAGCGCACCACCATCACGCGCTTCTGGGTGCCCTGCTGGCGCCTGCGGGAGGCACTGGTGGGCTCCCGTGGCACCTGGCCTCGTTGGCCTTGAAGTTTGAGGGCCCCAAAACGGCTCCCCCATACGTAGGCCTGTATGCGCACTGATGTGTGTGGCTGATGATCCCCTATCTACCTTGCTTTGCATAACACATGCCATCCACCGTCCCTTTGGCTCTGTTGCGTGCTCCCTTGCAGCGCCTGCTCTCCTCTGTTGCCCAACTTGCCTCTCTGCCGGCCTTCACCAAAGCACACCCTGCTGCTGTCTGCCTAGAGCCAGCACTTCGTGTCGCCCCCAGCCTCCAAGTCAGCAAGGGCCCCCAGGCAGTGACACCTACAACCCGCTAACCTCTTCCCGCCCCGCACCACAACCATGGGGCCACGCACCTCTACAATTTCCAGGACGGCCGCGGCCGCCAGCTGCGCCGCGACGTCGCCACAATCCGCGCCTTTGCGGCCGCCATCATCGCGCAGCGCCGCAGCGCCCTGGAGACGACGCGCGCTGCGACACAGCCGCAGCCCCAGCCGGAGCAGGACGATGATGCAGACGAGATATCACAGTTGCAGCGGGCCGAGGTCGGCGGCGGCAGCTGCGGGGCAGCTTCCTGTGACCTGCTGGATCTCTTCATGAGCGAGGAGGGCCCCGACGGCGCCCCCCTGGGTGATGCCGCCCTGATTGACGCGGTGCTCAACTTCATCATCGCAGGCCGCGACACAACAGCACAGGTGGGCAGGGGGGGCAAAGTGCGAGAGCGCGAGCATCAGGCACAACTCTGGGCGTCCATGGGTCGAGCGGGGACGCCCAGATGTTGCCCCCTCAAACCAGCTGCCGGTGGCATCAGCCCCGCATGCACGCACATCACCTGGTGCCCCTTGAACCTGCACATCTGAATCCCTCACTCCCGCTCGCAAGCCCAGTCCTTGGGATCCTCGCGTTTATACATACGCCTTGACTCTATCCGATTGATTTGTATTGCCAACTGCGCCAGGCCCTCTCCTGGACCCTTTATGAAGTGATGCGACACCCGGAAGTTGAGTCCAAGATCCTGTCCGAGGCAGAGGCTGTGTTGGGGCCCCTGCGGCGCCCCCGCCCCGCGGACACCAACCCTCGGCCCGCGCCCGCACCCTCCGGCCCGCCCGGCGGCGACCCCACCTGTGCACCCGCGGCCGGCGGCGTCGGCCAAGGCGGCGGCGGCGCGGGCGGCGAAGCGGCGGCGGCGCCGCTGTCTTACGAGCGGCTGCAGGCGCTCAGGTATGCGCGGGCCGTCTTTCTGGAGGGCCTCCGGCTGCACCCCTCAGTGCCACAGGTGGGGCGGGGCTTGCCGCCGCGCGGGGACCAACGTACCGTGGGGCCCCTCAGCGCAGGGGCCGCAAGCCTGCTGTGCGCGCGGCCGCCGTCAAGTGCAGTGCTTGGAACGCTTCCCGGGAAGCGGAGACAGGCTACCAGCCAGCCAGCTCGCCGACAAAGCAATGCGCCCGACCAACCTACCCATCTCAACAGCCAACCGACCAACCGCCGATTGCCTAGTGACCAGGGCTCAACCATGAACTTCGCCCGCCGCTTGCGCCCCACCCACGCACGGCCGCTAATGTTCGAAAGCGCACGCACACGCACGCCTCTGTCTATTTTTACCTGCCCCACCACCACCAGGACGTCAAGTTTGCCCTGTGCTCCGACGTGCTGCCCTGCGGCACGCGCGTCCCGGCCGGCGCCATGGTGCTCTACAGCGCGTACGCCATAAACCGCATGATGGAGTTCTGGGGCCCAGACGCAGACGAGTTCAGGTGATGGGACCACGTGGATCCGTCGGTTTCACAAAGTCTTAGGCCCTGCGTGTTGCTCTCAGGCGTACCCTGGGTCTGTCGTGGCCTGCAATTATGCAAATCTCTCCAGATGCCGCCAGTGTAGTGCCGTCACGGCATATGTTTACTGTAGACATATACACAACTTGGCATAAATATGCCTTGACTTTGTCATCGGCGCAGCCATTGCTGCTGCTTGCCCTCAACGCCAGTCTCACCCCCACACCATGGCGGGCCCGCCCGCCCCTGCAGGCCTGAGCGGTGGGAGGAGATGGCGCGGGCGCCACCT